TTTTCTGTTAGGAAATGGATACAGTAGAACAGATTTTAAAAAGATGACGCCCCAAGAACAAAAACAGGCATCAACAGAAAAAGGATGGCAGGAATGGACAAAATTCCCTAAATCAAAAAACGAGTAGCAGAGGCCCCAAACCAAGGGCCCAGAAACAATCAAAGAAAAAAAGATAATAGAATTTATATAAGTGCTGAAGTATTAAATTAGAACCCCAGGAATTATGAAGAATTTAAATGGTTATTAGACACAGGGGCCCAAATAACCATAATACATTAAGCAAAAGTACCACATAGAAAAAGAAAACATAAAATATGAGTGTCAGGACTAAATGGGGATAAAATGTATTGAACAAGGGTAATAGAAGTAAAACAGGGACAGAATGTAACAAAAAACACGTTAGTACTAGAGGGAAAGAATATATTAACTAAAAGAAAAGAATATACTAAGCATAAATATAATAATACAGAATCCAACAATACGACAGAATTTAAAAACAGTATTATCAATACAAATATCCAATGAAAAATTACATGTCACAAAAGGTGAATAGTATACCAACAAAAGCAGAAAGAAAAGAACCCATTAATCAGTTATTAAAAGAGTTACTAGATCAAGGAAAAATTGAACAAGTATTACACACCCAATATAAGAGTCCAGCATGAAGGATAGAGAAAAAGGAAAAGAGAAAATAGCGAATGGTAATAGATTATAGAAAAATAAATGAAGCAATACAACCAGTTGCCTTTACCACCCCCTGGGACAAACCAACTATAGAACAATATTTAAAAGAAAATGGAGAATTAAAATGGGGAGCACTAATAGATTTAAAGGATATGTTTTATAGTATACCTATAAAAGATAAAAAAGGAGCCTTAAATTTTTCAATTGGAGGAAAATACTATAGGTGGAACGTATTACCCCAAAGTTATAAAAATTCACCAGCATTAGCAACAGATGCCATGAGGTATACCCTTAGTCAACGAGGTTGGGAACAAGATCCCCGAATAATATACTATGTAGATGACCTTTTAATAAGAGAAAAGACACGAGAAAAAACTGAGAAGTTATAGAACACTTAACCACTCAGGGATGGCAGATAAACGAAAGAAAAGTAACTATGGCCCAAACTGAATACTCCTTTCTAGGAATTCAGGTGATGGAAAATAAAACAACAATAGGTACAACTTACCCCAATAGTGTAGGTAAGTGGTTAAATAGCCCTCCGAAAACCCGCAAACAGCTACAGGAAGTTTTAAGCATAGTAAATTATAATAAGGCAAGTATTCAACAGTTAAGACATAAAATAAAACCCTTATTGAAATTATTAAAAGGAGGGAAAGATTTAGTTAACTAGAATGAAAAAGCCCAAGCAGCCTTAATAGAGTTAAACCAGGATTTGAAATACCCCACTCCATTAAAAAGGTGGGACCCTAAGGGACCCCCAATAGAATTACAAATTAACTGGAATGAAGAGTGGGTAACAGGAAGTGCAACACAAGGAGAAAAACAGGAAAAGGTAGATAGATGGATTTTGCAATTTAACGGACCCCAAAGACATTATGGTGAATATGGAAAACTATTATAGGTTTTAAATAAAATAAAAGATAGGTACTTTTTAATGGCGAGTGTGGGTCTTACTTTACATGCCCCAAGGGTGTCAGCTTTAGCATGGCTAACCATGGAAATAATACCACCAACCTTTGAGGGCCAGAAAAATACTTAAGAAAAACTGAATTATAGTCAAACGTTAAACTAAGAAAAAATTTAGTACCCTGGGAGGCCCCAAAAAGCTACACCAGGAATAACAGAAACACCCTAGATATTTACAGATAAGAACACGAAAAGGAGAAAAGCAAAAGCAAGATATTACTGTACCAAATGTGAAAACAAGTTCTTTATTGTGTTAAAGGAAAAAGTGAATTCCCAAGAAGCAGAAGTAATCTTATTCTAACTCTTTCTACAACATGCACAAGAGAGTCACCCTAACGAACCATGGGAATTAAGCATAGATAGTATGTATTGTATAAAGACAATGTTAAAAGGGAATATAAACATTGAAACACATGCAGGGTGGAGAGAAATATAGACCATAATTAGAAATCATGTAAGTGGTACATCAGTGAAACATATCCCTAGCCCAGTGGTCCCCAACGTGGTGCCCGCAGGTGCCATGGCACCCGCCGGGGCATTTGTGTGTGCCCGCCGAAACATCTGGGCTAGCCCCGCCACCGGCGCACAGCACATGCATGGTGCCGCCCCCGGGCGCATGGGCGGCCTCTGCCCCAGGCGTGCAGCACATGTGCTGTGCTGGCCCTGGGCTCAGGGTGCATGGGCGGGCCCTACCCCCGGCGCACGGCACATGTATGGCCCCAACCCCGGAAGCGCGGTGCTCCGGAAGCCCAGCACATGAGCGGCCCCGCCCCTGGGCACCCGGCAGCCACAAAAGGTG